ATTGTGCACCAATTAGTGCTAAATTAAGTACCACCTTTAAGGGGCTGTATCTTAACAAGGGATGCTCCAATGAAATTTCTTTATATGAAAGATCCTATCTTTTTTTCGATGAGGAATCACCTTCTTGAATATTTTACACTTATTCAGTTACACCCTGTATAAATAAAAACTCTTTTGATCGTCCATAAATGCTATTGCATTCAAATATAAAATATTTGTTGTATTTGGATGCTGTCATCATGCTTATTGGTTTTTTAATGAATGAGCACAGGTATTTCTTCATTGATAATAGCGTATCATATATTTTTGTTGAATTCCAGGGCACTTTCTTTAAAGTTCAAAACGACTCACGCCCCGCCTGGTGATACGCTAGTACATAGAGGAGACGTGCTGACTTCGCTCTACTTCATATCAAGAGGTTCTATAGAGATTTTAAGAGATGATATTGTTATGGCAATTTTAGGTAAGTACCGATTAACTCAACTTGTGTGTACATTAATTCCCATCAGATAAAGTTTTACTGAAGTTAGTTTCACGGTTGATCTATTAGGAGTTGAGGCAATGTAGCGAATATCAAATTTTGTCACATAAATTATGGTTGAAGAAAATACTTTGATACTCATGATAAACATCTCTGCTTTGTAGAGAGCAGTCAGTAGTTACAGAGAAGTCAGTTAATCGGTTTGTAATCTGTTTTCGAATACAGGGGTGTACAAAAAAGTACAAATCAGAGTATGACAGGTGGAGAAGTTTGTAGAACTGATAACTCAATTATTTCAGTTTGTAAAAGTTTGAAATATCACAATAATACTGCCGTGCTAGGGAAGAAGGTCGTAACTGACAATTTGATCATTTTGAGATAATCTCATTTCAAGACTTATTTCAATGCCATTCACATTTTCTGATAGGAAATTGATTATTCTCGGGGTGGGAGTACATATTGGTGGATGCTCTTTTGTCAATGGCATTTCGTTGTGATATTTCAGAAAATTTGAAAATTAATGCAGATACAACTTTTTTTATAAAAAAATTCGAAAAGTACCATACAAAATATCGTAAGTAAACACAAATATATAGGGGATAAAATGGAACATGAATATTATATTATTACTGCTTATTATTATATGCATATATGAATACAGATACGACTTTTTTTATAAAAGAATTCGAAAAGTATAAAGAGGGGCAATCATCTGCAAAAGAATTTCGGTATTGTAAGGTCTTCTCACCCCTTTTTAGCTTCGAATGTACGTTGTTGGTTGACACTGAAAGTCACAGCATTCTGGAAATGACCTCTGACTTTATGCCGTCAACTACGAACGGCCTTATGAAGTACTTTTGCCGAGTAGAGAGGACTAGATCCTCCGGGTGGAAGAAATATTAAGAGCAGATAGTTTTTGGTTCACAGATGGATCAAAAACACCTTCCGATTCCGGTGCAGGTGTTTTCAGTCGCAGACCCAAGACAGAGATATCAACCTGCCTAGGAACCTATGCGACTGTATTCCAAGCGGAAATTTACGCTATTGAATTGTGTGCAAAGAGATTGGAAGAATCCAACCTCATACACAAGTCAATAAAAATATTCTTGGACAGTCAAGCTGCGTTGAAAGCTTTTGGCTCCTACTGAGAAACTTCTAAATTGGTAGCAAATTGCCAAAAACGACTCTCTTCGTTAGGAAGACTTAACAGATTGTCTCAGGTCTGGATTTCTAGCCATACTGGCCTGGAAGGCAATGAGGCTGCTGACTCCCTTGCAAAGGAGGAGATTGAACACCTGGATGGCAAGAAAATGTATGGACTTCTGGCAGAATCTTCCAGGATTGGCTCATTTCAAGGCGTTCATTCACCCTTCGAAGCTTGATACCAAACAGTTGTTGTACTTCAGTAGGGATGAAAGACGATGCCTAACAGGCCTTCTTTCAGGTCACTGTCATTTGAATCATCATTTGCAAAGACTCGGACTGTCGGAAGACAGTGTCTGTTGACTCTGTTTGGAAAATGATGAAACAGCAGAGCACATACCTTGTGCCTGCCCCGCTGGGGACCGAATCACGTTTTTAGAGTTCGGCAGAGTCGTACTCTTACCATCTGACCTGAAAGACCACTCACCATACAAACTAATCGGCTTCGTTAAGAAGCTGGGTTTATTTGGTCCAGTGTGCGCCATAATAGACCCTTGCGGGTTGTGGTAGAGGGTCAAATAGACCCACTCACTTTGGACCTAACCCAACTTATTGTGAGGAAATCGGCGAAATGTAACGAAAATTGCGTCCGCAGCAGTAGGCCTTGGTCAATAGAGGAGGCCCGATCCTGCTTCACGACAAGTCCTGTTCGCACGTTCCTCAAGTCACCATCCGAATGTGAAACGAACTGAGCGTCCCCAGATCTCCTGCCAACCGAATACCACCTCTTTAAGCACTTCGATAACTTTCTCATCGGTAGAACCTTCGCCAATCGGGACCAGGAAAAAACAGCTTTCATCGACTTCATCGAATCCAGATCACACATTTTTCATAGAAACGGATGAAACTTTTGAAACAACCCAATACATATTTTCCAGATAATAACTGAGATGAATAATGCCTATTTTCCGGTACTATTGAATGACATCAAAAAATCAATTGTAGTTTTTTTGATTCCGAAGATATATAGGAAAACCCAAACTTCCATTTTTTTGTATTTTCTTCATTTTCAATATTCAGTATCCAGGTGGAAATTGAATTATATTTTCTGTTTCAGGTAAATTTGATATATTCGGAGAAAATCCATGTTTACATCCCACATTGGGAAAGTCGGCGTGTAACGTTCGAGCCCTGACCTACTGTGATCTACATAAAATTCATAGGGACGATTTGTTAGACGTTTTGGAGCTCTATCCAGAGTTCTACAGCCACTTTTTGAATAATTTAGAAATTACTTTTAATTTAAGAGATGTAAGTACCTCCACAATTCAATATTGAATGATTTTTCATTACTAAATAGCAATGAATAATTTCTTGAAAATATCATTTGTTTGGTTATTTCGAAAAAAAAAATGTTCATATTATCATTTGTAGATTTTTTAGTTTAGTATTATGATAACTGCATTTTATTCAACTTGTTTATGATGATATAATTGGTATTTTTGCGCGGACCAAAACCAGGAAAAAAAATTTAAATTGATTTATATAAAAAAAAATTATTTATATTTATAAATCTTTAT